ATATATATATAACTCTTATTAAGTAGTATCATTAAATTGAAAAATATTTTCAGTTATCATTAGTCTGCTTTATTACAATTTTGTCTAAAGCAAATGTTTAAAACACCAAGAAATCAAATTAACCCAATTAAAATTAAATATAGAGAATATTTCTATTTGCTCACATTATTCAAGAACATCTGAAATTTAATTTTTTATAATACTTATAACTCCAAAATTTGAATCATAAAATTTTTTAAGACGCTTCACATAAAAAAATAAATTTTAATTTTAATTTTATTAATTATGTAATATATAAATATTAAAATTAATATTAATTTTTTATTTTTATATAAACTATATTTAAAGCATATATTTAACATACTCTTAATCTCCACTGCACTCAAGACAAAACGCATACATATATGTGACCCCGACCCCTAACTTTAGGTGCTGCACAACTCAGCTCGTGCTTATTCTCTGGGGTTTTTTTTCTTTTTGTTGTCAATAGTAATCATTAAGAAATTAGTGTAAATTAATTATTAACAATTAATTTTTAAATCAGTTGAATATTTCACCCCTCAAATACTTTTTGGTAAAGTTTACAACGGTGATGGAGATTGAAACTCCGATCACCTTATTTAAGTATTTAAAGTTTGAGTTCGAGCAATTGAGTCACAAACCCGGGTTAATATGGGTTATTAATTTACAGATTAACACCAAAATTTCTGAGCTTAATATTCAGAAAAAAAAACCATTTTATATTAGCAAATAAATGCATTTTTATTAGGTAGGACAAGCCCCATGTTTGCTTACGTTAATAACGTGGATCGAACGGTGTAGATCATTGACTTTAGAACTCAAAATCTGGGCCGCTTGATTTTTATTTTTTTGGGGTGAGAATTTAATTTTAAATTTAAACTCCAAAGTCCAAATGGATTCAGCTTTTTCGACATAAAAAAGGACAGGTCTATGGACTCCATGTCGAGACAGTGAACCCCATAATATCATGTCCTTTTCTCGAACTGACAATACTACCCTTCTTCAAACGTGGAACTGCGGGCTCCTACGAGGGGTGGTTAGTCATTTCATAGAGAAGCCATGTACGTGTCCGAGAGTTCACTGTGGGGACCTTCCCTTCTCGTGCCACCTTCTTTACCATTTCTAGTAAAATGAAAAAAATATTATATAATCATAATATTATATAA